AAGTCTCTCGTGTCATAAAATAAATCTCATTTTCATCTATTTTGACGTTAAGTACTGTATTGTAAGTAGAGATTCATTTGACACCAGTTTAAGTTTAAAATTACTATAAAATTCATGGGATTGTTATCTTTGCTGTGAATAATAGCAATTCTTGAAAGATATGCTTGAAAATGAGACGTTGGCTACAAATGGTCAACTGTCCACAACTTCGACCATCATATCTCGTATGGATATAAACACATCCGATATCACAATCACGGGAACGCAACCCAAATCCGTGTCTCAGAAGGAGGTCTTAAACCACTTGACTTTGTAGTGAATTAAACAACTTTTGCTCAAAACTTTGTCCGCATTTCGCAGAAATACGCGGAGAAACTGTTGCTGCGATACAGCCAGCGCTGGGTCAAGGACTTCGTGCGGCGCAAAATCGATCTGAATATGCCGTTACACGCGGACTCGGCCGGCGTCAGTGTGGCCCCACTGCCCACAACGCACCGGCACTGCACGACATCGCGATGTCTCTGTCAGTTCATCGAGGAACACCTCAAATTCAAGCCCTTAACCCAATGCAATATTACGGAACTTTTTATGTGAACAACACGAAAGGAGTTTTAAACTTTTTTAGAGACTATTTTTCATGCAATTTGTTACTGTATTTGTTTTTCTTTTACGTTTTTCGATGTGATATTCAATTTGAATTTCTATTTTTAGATAAGATTTTTTAATAGGATTTTTATTTTGCATTTTCCCCTTTTGGTGTGCCTTTAAATTATTTAATACGGAGTCGGGATTTTTGTTTATACCGTACAGTATACTATTTGTTTTTTATAGTACCGTACATTATATTTTTTAGAGCTATTAATGCATTTAAATCTCTGTTGAGTTTTATATTATGAAATAAAAAACTTGTAATCAACAGCTAATGTTATTAGTGATTACAGTAATTGTTTGAAACCAAGTTAATAATGAAATAAATAAATAAAATACAGTTTGTGCTCAGAGTATATTCAAAATATAATTTTATTTC